GGAAAATAATTCACGTGAACATATCTTTACAATAACGTTACTCACAGTGGTTCTCGTAAACGATCAATCAATCCTCGAGTCTTGACCTACAACCACAAAGTATATAACACAAACATATCTTATCATACATATTCACGTGGCCATCACGGCTTCGCTTTGTTTACACAAGTTTCTTGCTTAACGCATTGTTCAAAACTCACCCTTGTAATCTCTTAACTTAGTACATTCCTTTCTTAGTGTGTTTCTACTTCATATCCTCATTACTATGGCTAAATTAAGGCTTAGGAATGCCCAAGATTTAATGAGGATACCAAAATGCATTGGAAAACACCTAGTCAAATTTCTGAAAACAGGGTCCCAGCTTGAGCGTAGCTTCCCTCGCTCGAGCAGACATACAAAATGTAAATGGTCGCTCGAGCGTAGATTCCTTCGCTCGAGCGGTCTGCAAGATATGAAACTTCTGGGAGCTTGCATTTCACGCTCGAGCGGGCTTCAGGTCGCTCAAGCAAAAGTGCCCTCACTCAGAGTGGTCGCTCGAGCATGAACTCCTACGCTTGAGCGTAGATGCAAATTCTGAAATTTTCAGATTTGATCCCCAACCTCAAAACTCGAATGTAACTCTCTAAAACACATCTCTTGGGCCCAAAAACTTGAGATAACATTGTAATCTTGCAAAATATGAAGAATTAAGGATTATTTCATAAAATCATGGCCCAAGAGTTTGCAAATAGCTCACAATTCATCTTGAAACTCAAGAAGCAACACATGCATGTAAAATCTTTCAAGCTTTTTCTTCAAAACTCATGAATTTAACAAATTGAGCTTATAAGCTCCATGCATGTAAGAAATCATTTTCCAAAACATGAAATCAAGGTTCAAAACATGATAATTCAAACATGCATGTACCAAATAACTTATGATGGTAACTTAGATGCTCAAAATTAACCCACATGGCAAGACTCTGCATGTTTATGCATGTATGTAAAATTCTTCTCCCAATTCTCCTCTAAGACCATATGAACATGGAATTCACTCTCAGAACTTGGTAAAATATACATGCATGTACATTTCATGCTCCAAATTCAACACAATAATGAAGCTCATGATCAAGGTGGTGACTTAACACTTATGCATGCTTGCATGTATGAATCGCAACCAAATTCTTCATTCAAAGCTCAATTTACACATCTAAACACATAATCTTCAAGTTAATAACTTAAATTCATAATTGGGGTTGAATTCTTACCTAGAATCTTTAAACACACTTGTTCTTACACAATCTTGATGAGTTCAACACAAAACATTCAATTCCTCTTCAATCTCTTCCCTTCTCTCTCTTAAAATGAGAGTTTCTCTCACTAAAATGTCAATCTCAAATTTTGGGAGCTCAAAGTGTTGAAGAAATGAGCTCAAGTGAGTTTAATGTGTAGTATATATAGTTATAATGCCATAATACATTAATTAGAACATAAAGCTTGCCAAACACAACTTAATTAATCAGACTGAATCAATTTTTAATAAAATTAGCCATATGATTCTAAAAATTCCGAATAACATATTTATGTAACCAATTCCGATTCCGGATGCTGATAAGGCTTCGAATTTTCATATTAAAGTAGAATTCTAGACAGATATTTCTACAAGTAACAGATAAAAAGCCAGCGACCATGCAAAATGCCTAATAAACACATAATTTATTTTATCCACTTAATTAACATCTTTAATTACGAATTAGTACTTTATTACAGATCGGGGTTGTTACAACCCGCATCTCAAAGGATAGACAACGGGCAACATCAAGAAGATGACGATTTTTGCATTCTGCAACACCATTTTGTTGAGGGGTATTAGTGCATGAAGTCTAGTGAATAATGCCACGAGTGAAGAAGTGACAAGACCAGAGTCAATATATTCCCCCTTCCATTATCAGAACGTAGAATTTTGACAACCGCTCCAAATTGAGTACAAATCATTTTATGAAAGTTTTGAAACACAGAAAACACCTCACTTTTATCTTTCATCAAATAGACCTAAGTGGCCTTGGAACAATCATCTATGAAGGTAACAAACCATTTTTGACAGGTTAAAGACACAAAACGGGATAGACCCCATACATCAGAATGAATCAAAGAAAATGGAACTAAACTTTTACTAATAAAAAGAGCAAATGAGGCTCTATGTTGTTTTCCAAGTTGACAAGACTCACATTGAAAATCTGACACATTATTTTTCTCAAAAACAGAAGGAAATAAATGCTTAAGTAATAAAAAAGAGGGATGTGCTAAGCGTCGATGCCACAACCAAATGTCTTCCTTGGTGGATGGTAACTGAATAGATGAATGAGCCAACTTGTCTATCTGATCTAGAATGTAGAGCCCATTTTCCTCTCTACCACTGTCAATCCTCTTCCTCGTGATAAGGTCCTGAAAAAGACAATGATCAGGAAGAAAAACGTCACGCTACAATTTAAGTCATGGGTAATACAACTCAAAGATAAAAGATTAACCCTGAAATTGAAAACATAAAAGACAGAAGACAAAGGAATGGAAGATGTGGCATGAATTAAACCTTTTCTTGATACAGATGAAATGGTACCATTAGCAATACGAACTTTTTCTAGACCTGATGAGGGGTTATACTCGGAAAATAAATTAGAGGAGCCCGGCATATGGTTGGAAGTACCAAAATCAATAATTCGTGAGACAATTGTATGAGATAGCAATGAACATGGGGAAGAAGCCATGTTACCTGAATTAGCAAAAGAAGAAGAAGAAGATGTACTTGTAGTAGAAGTGGAGGTTCGACGGTCTAGCAAGTGCTGAAGAGCAATCTCAAAATTCGAGGCAGATAACCCCAAGACATCAACAGCGGAGAAGACAACTGGAGATGAAGATGGTGGCTCAATAGTGTTTGAAAAATGGGCTCGTGCATTGGCTCCACGGCCTCTAGTGCCAAACTGACCCCCTCAAGTACCAGGACGGTCGCCTCGGCCACCAGAGGGAGTTCTATGCAACTTCTAACAAGTCTCGCATGTGTGGCGAGGTCGACAACAGTAGTCATAGTAAAGATTATCCTTCTTAGAGGAAGGACGAGAACCACGAGTCACACGGTCGCCATCGCGAGAGGGTGCAGAAACCAAGGCCAAGCAATCAGTAATAGCAAAAGAAAGCATCGCAAAACTGCGACTCTCCTCATTCTGCACAAAACAAAGGCTTCCTGGAGAGAAGGAAGCACATCCATGCTAAGTACTCTGCTCTGAACCGAATCATACTCCACATTTAGGCCTTCCAAGAACTTGAAGACCCACTCTTATGCCATAAACTTTCGGTAACCAGCAAAATTAGTGGGACAAACAGGCTTGTAATCCTGAAGGTGATCAAGCCGCTTCCATCCATTGCTAAGGAAGGTAAAATACTGAAGGATAGTCTGCTTACCTTGTACCGACCTTTCAATGGGGTGACGTAATTCGAAAGCCTGTGAGAATTTCCCTTTTCTGGAGTAAGTAGTTGTTACAGCCTCCTAAATATCTTAGGCAGTGTCCATAGATAAGTAGCCCTCTCCAATCTCCGGAAACATAGAATGGATCAACCAACCCATAATTAGAGAATTGGTGATCTCCTACTAGTCATAATGAGGTCGATGATACTGGGTGCCTGAACCCACCCATTAACATATCTCATCTTCCCCTTGCTCTTCAAGAAAATAGTCAGACTATATGACCACGCTAAGTAATTCTGACAATTGAATAGAGAGGTGGTGATTCTAAGGCCAGTGTGGAGGTTATCAGTCATAGTGGAAAGGATAACAGAACTTTCGCCCTGAGATGGCTGAGAGGTAGTAAATTCACTGGTCAAATCCGCCATGGAGACTCTATTAATTATTCCTCAAACACGATCCCTTAAACACGAAGCCAATCATAAACCCAGAAGATGAGAGTGGAGTAACAAGTACAATAGTAACTATAAAAGCATAAAAGAGAGAGAATCTAGTGGGGCTTTGTGTCTGGACTATTTTTGCTTCACCAGAGTTTTTTTTTTGGGTTTGCTTTGGTACTGTTTTATATCACCAGGAGACTAAATGACTGTGTATAATCATTACCAGTCCACTACATAAGAAACGACTTTGTATTACATCACCAGAGGACTTCGAAGAGAAGCCACCACCCCAGGTGAGACTGCGACCACCCCAAGCAACCCTAGAGGGCCAGATGACTTCGACCAGACCAGAAAAAAGTCTTGTCGGCCCCCTGGGAACCCTCGGTAGTGGCTGGAGAGGCCTACCGAGGGAGAGAGAAGCCTAGGTGATGCCTGTCGAAGGGAGAGAAGGGACTGGAAGACCTGGGTAGAGTCTACTGGGGTTAGCTGAGGCTGGGAGACTTGTTTGGGGTTGTCGTTCGGTTTATGAGAGAAAGGAGATCACTTGTAGCGATGGATAACAAAGAAGGAGAGTTGGCTAGGGCATGACTTTAATACCATGTAGGTTTAGAGAATAGAAAGAGTTAGGGCCTGTTTGGTAACGTTTACATTTTCAATTTATATTTACAAAAAATTTATAAACTAGTTTTTGTTTATTTTTAGAAAAACATAAACTACAAACGCATTTAATTTAGACAAAATGTTTAAAAAAAATTAAAAATATATAAAAGAGTAAGAAATGACAAGTGGTGGTAGCGGAAGACGGTGGTGAAAAATGATGACAGGTGGTGGTGGCGGAAGACAGTGGTGGAAAATGGTAGCGAGTGGGTGGTGGTGGTGGCGGTGGCGGGTGGTGGATGGTGGTGGCAGATGGGTGGCGGGTGGGTGGTGGGTGATGGTGGTGGTGGTGGCGAGTGGGTGGCAAGTGGCTGGTGGCTGGTGGTGGATGGTGGTGGCAAGTGGGTGATGAGTGATGGTGGCAAGTAGGTGGTGGGTGGTGATGGCGGCGGTGGATGGTAGTGGCAGGGGGCGGGGGGTGGGGGGATTTAGGGGGGCAGAACCAAGAATTATGTTTGAGAGGGGCCAATGTTTATGCATAAAAAATATTAAATTAGTTTTGATATATTACTCATTGAATATAATTTCTTATATAAGCGTTGTTAAAGAATTATTTCACGATAAAACTAAATAAATCTAAAAAATAGTTTTTTCAATTTTGAGCTATTAGATCTCAATATACAATTAGTTGATTTTATATAATCTAGTAAATAAAAAGTGAAAAATGCTTAAGATCCCTGAAAAATGCTTAAATTTACACTCAATGGCATTAAATGTTACATGTCAATTGATTTGTTTATAAATCAATTAACTAAGACCTAACCCCTGCCATGTCACTGTAAATAAATTTAAGGGTGAAGTTTTAGGTTCTCTGGCATTACTCCTAAAAAAGTATACATATCATTTGATTTCTAAAATCCAAAAAATAAGTGACATGTACCTCTTGTTTTAATAAAATCAACTAAAGATAAAATATATGCTGTTATTTAAAACGTGAAATAATTAGAGATCATTTCATTAGATGTTGTAAAATATTAACGAAATAAAAAGGTAGTAAACTATTTCTTATAAAATTTAAAAATCCACCTTATTATACATTTTACAAATACTCATAAATATAGAATTAATAATAAATTGTCGAAAATCGGAGGGAGGCGGGGCCCCTCCCCTGCTTGGATTCAAAATCTGTTTTCCTTTAGCTAAGAAAGCAAGAAAATTTACTTTGAGACTTATAATGTAGAAATGCCAAGGTTCTGATGTGAGCCCATGCTATTTTATTCAGTTCAACTTATAATATTGTTGTGGCGGTTGTATTTTTAGTTATGAAATTGTATATTGGTGTATGAACGGGTGTTTAGCAGGGGTGATGTGTTGTATCAATGTTGTGGTAGTTGTATTTTGAATTAGGGATTTATATCTTCTGGTGTTTGGAATCCAGACTTTGGGTGATTGTTTAGTAAAGAGATTCTGTTTTATAGCTCTGATGTGGGCTCTGACATGGTGGTACCTTAAAGAGTCAAAATCCATGCAATTTGGCATTAAAGAGCAAGAGAAGTGCTTCTATGATGCTTACCACTTTGTGCCTTTGGTTTCTTATACAATCCACGACCTTTTTTTGAGTGGGTTGTACTTGTACCTTTGGTTATCCCCTCTTTTGTTTTCTAGTAGTTATTGGAGTTACAATAAGGGGGAACCATAACATTGTCTGCTCTGTTGTTTTCTAGGGGCTTTAGGATAGTTAAGAAAAGGCCAAATCCCCAAATACATCCAATGAATAAGTTATTCATCATCCTGAAGCCTCTCTCTCCCTTTGTGTGACTATGTGATTGGCCATGAAAGATATTCTAAACTAGTTATTGCTGTAACTTATCGGAATGAACAATGTTGATAAAACTTTTTGATGATTCTGATTAAGAAATGAAAATTCCTAATCCTTGTGTGCCATGCACCAAGATATGTTTTAGCATTTTATTGAAGTTGACTTGTGATTAGCAGATAATGTCGATTTTGTTTATGTTCTACATTGTCCCAACAGCTTTGGTCAAAATGACTTCTTTTTTCGCTCTTGATTTTTTTTAGCAGATAATTCACCAAGCTGGCTCACCCCCCAAATTTTCAATATACATTTTCAAAGAATATGTTTTCTATGTATATCATATATGTGAAAGTGTACAAAAAGCTTGTGTTAGAGTGAAACTATACATGTGTATTTGTTTTGCACACCATGTGTTTGTTTATTTTCCTTGTAGAAAGAAAAGGTAAATAGGTAGTTGGTGGAATACTGGAAGCACTGCCTCAATAAGCGTGCTTGCACATCCATGTTCAACTTCTATTTGTGTAGGTGTACTTGTTTATGTACCATGTGAATTTGACAGTATTATGTTTGCAGGTGAATGACAACAACAATAATTCATTTCTGTATCAATTTTGTGGCTCTACTGCTCTATGGTTTGTCTCAACTCCTGAGTTTTTCATCCTTGCAGTTCCATTGGTACTTGAAACTTAATCTATTTGACCTCTTTTGTGTTTTAGGGAACCAACAACAAGGTTAACTCTTGGCATTAATTTGTGCATTGAGTGCAATAATATGAAACATTATTACTTCAATAAATTTCTAACAGCTCTTAGTTATCAAAGATGGTAGATATTTTGTTGAATAAGGCCTTTTCCCAACTTTTTGAATAGGGCTTAATTTGATTCCTGGGTCTGCAACTGTCTATATGTGCTGTGTCCTATGGACCCCGGCTATGTCAATGCCATTTTTACCCAAATATTAGTATTTACAATGCGATCATACAATGCATTTCTTGTTTCAAGAACAACAATTTGTTAACTAAATTATTATTATTTTTGTTTTTTAATCGTGAATGGCTTGCGAAAGGCATGGTTCCGGGTAGCCACACGTAACCCTTCTATTCTCGAGGCATGCGCACAATCAAGTGCATTAAGATAAATAAGGGCAGGAGGTTCATGTGCATGCAGTTAAGTTGGGTTGGTATCGGATTTGTATGTAAAGAACACAAGATCAGGATGTATGTTGTTTGTGGGGTCATTGAAGCAGTCCAAAAATTGTTTGATGGAAGTTCTCATAGAGATTTGGTTTCATGGATGACGTTGATTCAGGGATATGTTAAGATGGTTTTCGGAAGGAAGGTAGACGGGTATTTTTCGAGACACACCCAAGAAATGATGATTGTAATAGTTCTTTCTGCATTTGCTAATTTGGGAGATTTAAGTTTGGATAGGAGGATACATGGGTATATGTGTGATCATAATGTGAATTTTGTGTGTTCGTTGGGAATCTGTTGGTTGATTTGTCCTTGAAATTTGTTGACACAAAGTTTTCTCTTGGAATTCTATGATACCAGGATTATGATCAAAGGAAATTCAAAGAAGCCTTAAATGTTTTCAGGAAGATACAGAGTAGAGGTGTCAACCCAAATTTCAAATCATACCTACAAAGTAACGAGATGTACATTTACAAGATGAAATGTTTTAAGTAATCTAAAGAATAGTGACAGTGGACACATATAAATTATTTTCTTAAATGGAACTGACTAGAGTAGCATTGTGTTCCACCATCTCTTCTGAAAACAACTGGTATTCAGGAGGGTTTCACTTGCGTATTTTGTGGCATTTGACATCAGGCCTGTAGATCTGTTCTTAGAACTACCGTAAGGAGTAGCATTATGCACCCAACAATTCCTCCCTCACGATGATATGCTCCTGCAACTCCAACCCATGACATCTTGGTTCTGATACCCATTTGTCAGATCATGTTTCATCATTGAGACCTTGGAAAATGGCAAGAATCATTTTTAAGATTAGAGAGAAAAAAGAAAAGTTTAAGTGCTTATGCAAGTTTCATAGTACAGTGAAGGTTTTGGTGATTTTGTGTCACAATTTGTTTATTTTAAAGCTAAAACTGTCAAATAAAGTTCAAAGAAAATAAAAACATGTTCAGTAAATGCAAGATGCAAATACCGTGACTCATCTGAAGCTTGGAAAGAATTTAAGTTCATAATTGATGCCAAATATAAATTTCTGTGGATGGAATATAACAGCAGCCATCTGGTTGAAATTATTTTTGCAAATGAAGTTGTCCTGTGGATCTAAATTGCAGTTGTTTCATTGTTTTACTAAATTGAAGTTTAGAATGATTATATGTATGTTTATAGAAATTTTCTTTTCTTAGCAAAATTAGAAGTTTGTAGACCAATGTACAACTGCCACAGCTGCACATAGAACTGCCCGAAGCATTAGTTAGAGAAGCAACCAATGCTGCTCCAGAAATAGAAATTTGTTCTTTTATTATTATTATTATTATCATTTTTTACTTTTGAGAATTACTAGTGACATTGATTGTTATTTACATGACAGGTAAAATAACTTGGTGATCATGGATGGCTTGAAATCTATTACTGAAGCAATACCGAGAACATTTTCAGTCACTTTCAGATTATTCTTTTAACCTCAAATTTGTGCACTGACTCCATGGACATCTAATACTAGTTCGGTCCAGCGAGAGGTAAGGAAGAGAAATTGAGATCGTAAATTCAGTCCCATTATTATGAAAGAATTATGTTATATTGATTTTATGTTGATTGCATATTTCTTCATAAAACTAAAAGTTTACCTAATTGGATGACATTTTTGTGGAATTCTATTGTAATCTTGACTTAAATTGTTTCTGCCAAGAATTTTTTTTTTTTTTTTATTTTTCATGTAGCAACTGATGTCTAAGATGAAACTAATGTTTTGGGTTTCGACAGCCAACCTTTTAGAAGTACTTTTTCTGGGTTGATATGAAATGGGATATGTTATATGGACTCAAATACAAATGTTGAGTGCGGGTATGTATTTAAGTGTCCAAGGATACAGAGACATAGCAAAGTGTTCATATTTTCTAGGATAAAACTGTGTTTATAAAGTGTCATAGACAGAGTATTTCATGCATAATATAGAGATTTATGCATACTTTTATCATTAACTTAAATTACTAAATATGTTATCTCGGTGAATGTCTAATCACACATCTCGTACTCTTATCTAGGTGTCAAGTGTCCAACATGGATACTTTGTACAATACACGTAACTCAGCCTCCTTCGTGCCAAAACAAAAGTGGGAATTTAGTTAGTGATCTCTATTAGATTCCGAAAAAATAAAAAATAAAACAATCTATATAGATATGCTAAAAAAAAATGTGAAGTAATCCTGTCCATACAATTCTTATGATTGTTTCTTTTGCTGTTGTCGTGCACTATAATTTTTGTTCAAACAAAGACAATAGAAAGACAGGAAGAGGAGGGAAGCACACAACTATAGCTCTTGCCTCCTATGAATGATCAAGTAGGATGCCTAGATACAAAACTGATTTTAGAACATTATTAACTACTTTTCCGACTAGTCCCATCTGTCGAAGAAACGTATCAGTATGCAACTCCAACACCTTTGGAAACTTATTATTTTAATAATTTTGGACAACTGTATCAAATGAAACATCAATGAGAGAGAGAGAGAGCAACAACTAGATTAATTAAGAATAGATTGCTCAGACCAACAAACATGAAACATCTGTTAGATTAATTAACACGTATAGGTATTATCCATATGGTCAATTTTGAACAAACTACATTACTTTATTTTAGAGAGTGAGAGAGATTTTCACAAACATAGATTCCTTGCCTTGTTATCCAACCCTACCTTTAAAAAAATTCCCTTTGTTCAAACTAATTGTAAGACATGGAAATTCTGTTACTCCTTGGTCACTATGATCTCGAGACATCTTGGAGCAGGCAACCGATGCAAGTGACATTTAGTGCATTGCATTAATAATCTTCACCATCATCTCTCTCAATTACCTCTTCTCAAGTAGAGGGGTTTTTTTATATTATTATTTTTATCATGTGAAATAACTAGTTTTCCTTAATCACTGTAAATTTTATCAATTTAATTTTTTTTTTTGGACATTATGAAAGTGGAAGAGGTCATGCTGCAAAATTTGAATGGGAAAGTTCAGTATTATTTGGTATTTTTCATTAGCTTAGCTCAAAATCACTTTCTTCATTATCATCCAAATGAATTAGAGATATAAGAGAAGTAATTTAATAGGATTCTCGCAGCCAAAACTAGAATCCTTGGCACAAAGTGTTTGAAATAACTACTTTTACATTGTTATTTCAAATCTATAACGAAAAAGCTCTCAAATTCAATTTATAAAAAAAAAAAAAAAAAGGCTCTCAAATTCAATCTTGATATTCATATCTAAACTATCAAATCTAAATTTAAGTCAAATTCTTTCATTTTACATACATAAATTCAAAGACAACCTAAAATTGTAGTTCTAATGAAACATAACTTCAAAAAACTAAAAAAGATGAGAAGTAGCCTCTAAGTAACCAATTTGGTTGCTGCAATCTTGCCATCATTGCTATCAAATGAACAAACATTCATATATATATATATATATATATATGTATGTATATATGGTTAAACCATTGTGTTGTGCACACAAATCCGGAGTGCTTTGTTTGCTTGCTAGTTGTATAACTTAAATAGAAGGGGCTTCATAGCTTGAATTGAATAAGGAGTTACTATTGTCAACTGATGAAAAGAGAAACGGTTGGTAGGTTAATTAACAATCGAAATAAGTTTGAATTCCTCTTTATGTTGATTGTTTTCTCCACAAAATCACTTTAGAACTCGTCATAGTGGTTCAGTTCAGCCTTTTTGTCCATTTTGTGAATCCTTTTACCCTTTCAAATCCATATTGAAATGTTAAAATGCTTTTGGTTGCAAATAATTTTCATCCAACTACGGTAAAAAAAAAACAATGGTATGTGTTAATTTGCTGCTGAAATTATTTGAAAACTTGTGGGCGACTACGTGAATTGGATATTTTTTAACATAGTTACTAGTTATCTTGTGTTAGTTCAAGCTAGCCTACCCCTTGTTGTTTTGCATTTATTTTCACTTTTTATTCATTTCCTGTGAACATTTTCTTAATGTGTTTTTGACCAATGAAGTTTTGTGGTGAGCTTAGTAATGACCACAGTAGTAATTTAATCAAATCTCAAGTGACTAGGGATTGTTGAGAACCATGTATCCTGCATTTCTCAACCTCCACAAGGGAAAATTCATGCATAGAATATCGGTCAACAGAGAGAGAGAGAGAGAGAGTTACCAAAAAAAAATTTGTGAAAAACAGGGCATTTTGACCATATGTGTAATCTGATATACAGAATGTAATAGGAAATATATGAGTTTAATCCTTACTATTCCAGAGAGCAGTTGAAGCAATTCATACCCCCAGCCCAAGAGGGGGAAAAAAATAAATAAATAAAAATAAGTAACAAAAACCAAAAACCAAAAAAAATAAACTTATGAACAATTCAAAAGAATGATGTCAATGTTTGGTTTTGTCCTGATAGGCCATACCAAAGTGCAATTGATGTGTTGCATAGCTACTTTAGAGAAAATTTTGTTGAATTAACAGACAATGTTGTAAAGAAAATTGTTGCATATCATTAGAATTTACTTTGATCAATTAATTACTAGTATTCCAAACATTTCAGCAGGGCACTATTTACCCCAATTTCATAAATGAGATCCAATGTTAAAACATTTGGCAATTCTGGTGATTTTTCTAGTAATTGGGATGAAAAACTTACTAAGTTGAGTTAATATGGAATTATAAGTTTGACAACGTACAACCTAATCTAATACGGATATTAATTTAAAAAAATTAAGCACCAACTTGGGCATATTTAAAAATTGTAACATTAACTTTTCATGACCTTATTTTCTATCTGAATCCCAATGAACTTGCTTGTTTCTCTCTTATTTTCATTTTTCTTCCATACACATTTATTATTTTTGGTTAATTATACTTTTCATCCCTATAATTTGACCTAAATTTCACTGTAGTCTCTATAATTTCAATTTAAATAATTTGGTCCCTACCTTTTAAGTCTAGTTTCAATTTGGCCATTCTAAATTTTTGTTAATTTTGTCTATGTATACATCTTAAAAATTGACAAGTGTCTCAAAACCTCTAATTTAGATAAAATAAAAAAAATTAAGATCTTAAAAAATTGACAAGTGTCCTAAATTTTTTAATTTTAATCTCCAATTTAGACGGAATGAACAAATTAAAACTAAACTTAAAGTGTGTAGACCAAATTGTTTAAATTGAAATTATAGAAATTAAAGTAAAATTTGAATTAAACTACCAAAGGTGAAAAGTGTAATTTTCCCTTTATTTATTTATTTAGTTTTATATTTTCCTTTTCCATTTTCGGATTCCATCTCCTAATTGAAGGATGAATGGTTGCTATAGTTGGTTTACATTTTTTTTTTCATTTCCTTTTCCTTTTCAAATCTTTATTCAAAATTCATAATTCAAAAACAAATGTAAGTGAGTTTTCTTTTCTATGTAATAAAGTTAGTTAAAAAGTTCCAGTTTTAAAAATTTTTGTGAGCAACTCTAACCACACTCTCTACTTTTCACTAGCTAAAGTACAAAAAAAGTACATTCTTTATTTTACCGAATTACTTTAGCTATTGTCTTCTCCAACAACGCTCTTTATTTTAGCTAATCATTTAAACTAACTTAATTAATTTTTAAAATAAAAAAAATACTAATTGTTGATATTTTACTAATATAAATTTGCAATAATAATAAATTTGCCCATACAAACATACAAAACCTGTAGAATGAGGAGAAAAAAAATACAAAATACAAAATAAGTTATTTCGTAATTCATTAAACAGAATTGAAAGAACATATAAAATTGCTATATATATATATATATATAATATAAAATCCCAAATCCAATACATAAATATACAAAAATCTAAGATATATACATACATAATTGTTTGGAGAGCCTATGGGACTCTTCAATTGTAGCCATCAAAAAAATAGGATGATAAAGTAACTAACCCAATAGCTAGCCCATTGGAGCTCAAAATTAAACTTACATTAACTAAAATGCCTAACAAGCCTTATTTAACTATCTCCTTAGAGATGCTCAGTACCACATAAACCATGTTATATGCTACTCCCAAGTTATTGAATAATTATCCTTAGCAAGGCCCAACAAGTATATTTATTAATGGACTAACTCCTCCCCGCAACAGAAACTAGAAATAGGTTCAGATTGGAGGCAAATTTTATTTTTAATATATTTGTTTGGTGTTACTCCCATTTAATATATCTCTGTAAAGAAAATAACTAATAGGTCATATTTTACGCTTGAGATGACTATTGAATCCTATTAAGTTTTAATATGAACAATTAAGCCTTATTTTTCATTTAATATTTTCCAAAAAGATCATTGTTCCATAATGATATATATTATACTAATTTTACCCCTCATTTAATATAAACAGTAATTTCATAAATATTTTTAATCTAAGTAAAATTATATTTTTTTTTTTTTGGGAAAATTAGTATTGAGTTGTATAAAGTTTTATAATTAACAAATTAGTCTTTTTTTCTTTTTCTTTTTTAATTATAAATTGTTATAAAAAAAAGTTCAATTATTCATAATATTTTTTTTTTAAATTTTATTAATATGAACAACAAATTTTTTAAACAATTTAATTTATTTAAAATTTTTAATAAAAAAATTTTAATTGTTGAAATTATATGAATTTTCATAAACAAAAGTATAAGTATATGATTGATCAACTATCTCATACATTGAGAAATATATAAAATTTT